CTACTTTGTAGTACTCCAAGACTCTCAAAATAGATTCAAAATAGATTGAAGTATTTTTTCTTTAGTATCATCATTCTCGTCTTCCTTCATATATTTATAATTACGTTCTCCGATATTTTACATCACTTTTTCAATACATTTGTCATGGATATCAAAGATTTCACCTAAGACATCTAAAACGTGAATGATTTTCTTAATATATTTTATATACTAATTTTTTTAAGGTTTCTAAAGCTACATAAAGCGTTCAGGAACAGACCATATTTCGTTTTCCACTTTGGTCTTGAGCGGGTAATAGAACATCAGCACGATTACAAAATAGGAAAATTGTTACGTAAGCCCGACGTAGACACTTGAAAACAGTCACGGAATAGTATTGAAATCCTTGCCACTTTTGATTGGTGTCTCTCGACACTAAGGCCCGTCGCATCTTCTTTTCTTGTGAATGAACCAAATTTTTCACATTCGTGTAATAGCGCATCTAATGTTCTCGACAATAACAATATTTGTCGAACATGACTTTGTCGGACTCAAAATAAGGGAAGCACATGTTGGAATTGTAGAAGAAGATTTTAACTCAAGACGGCTTCGAAAACTCCTATCAAGAGTATTTCTATAGGGGAATTAAAGATCGTCTTAAGCGTATTAGTTCAATCTTTTAAAAGGGAGCGCTTACTAGCGCCATGAAAAAGTTGGAACAGTTTTTCCATTTAAACCGCCCTGGTTTATTCAAGTGGATACCTTGCTTTTCAGGTTAGCGATAATTAATAATATAACTGACATGTAAGTCACATGGAATATGTCCATTGAATAAATTTTTTTTCTTTTTTTACGAACTAACGCCACTAAATACTTTTTATACCCTTCGCTGAAGGACGGGAGTACACACATTCTTTTTCCATAATGTATGTAGTACCCAAAAGGAAGCTTCAGAAACCCTAGAAAGTATATGTATTCTTGATCAGGACGAAATTCTCAATTGATTAAGCCACGTGTGTCCGTCTGTGTTTTCGTGTGGTTTTTATTATCGGCACTCTCCTGGTCGCAAAAATGAAGATATCGACTTCGAATTTGGTAGAAACAGTGGAAGATTTTTCACGCAGGTTGACATTAAAAATGGACTAAATTCGTCAAAGACTACATGTGCAATAAGGCATAAATTGTATGCACTTCTCGTTCTCTAAGCAAAAAATTGCGGATTTTTGCTCGTTAGTTATCTACCACGAAAGATAGAAAGTGGAATTTTTCTAAATTTACACTATAGAGGGGCTTTCTAATTATATATAAATATGGAAGACAATCTGCGCGATGACACAAAGTTATACACGATTAAATTTTCATTTCTCTGCATGTCGTTGACGTTATGCATTTGTTACTGATAACGTAAACACGGGAGAATGTTGAAAATTATTTCGCACATTCTTTACATGAACATATACTGTCTGTCTAAAAAATTATTAATTATGAACGTCACAAACTAAATGAGACGGTCGCCACTATATTGTAGATTAGTTTTTTCTTAACATACCCATTATATATATATAATGTATATACAATACGAAGACGGAGTGAAGATCTATCAGTCCATCTGTCCCGCTTGCATTTCTGTGTTCAACCTACAAGTGCTGGGATGAACTTAGCAGGTCGATGCATTTTGGCACAAGAACGACTGTTGGATCGTACTAATTTATCGACCATTTCCCATAAAACATCTTATTTTGAAAAACCATTCTATAGGGTGGTGCACGGCATTTAATTTTGGACCGTGGCCCACTATAATGTTTTTAGTTCTTCTCCGTCACCATTCTTACTAAAATACTTCTCAAAAACATCAGCTCGCCTTAACGCTTAAAGACGCAAACTTTCTGGCATTTTTGATTCAATGCTTAGTGAATGGCTCATTATGCTCTTAGTGGAGATAGATCCAAATTTCTGTTAGTTGAAGATAAAATTCTATTACAGAGTGAAATCACTCTCTCTTCCTCTTTATTTCGCTTGATTATGCTCTTTATTTATTTTTCTACAACTTTGATAAGAATGTACTTATCTCAGTAACGGAAACGGGTTGGGTAAGGAACGAGGTTGCACTCTTCTCTTCCGGAAAGAGGTGTAAATTAGTTTTATTTGCTTTCGGAACTTAAAGTTTTTGTGGAGTATAAAGAGGTGCAATTTTGTAAATGAAGTTATTTCGGCAAAAACTGAATTTTAGAGGCATCTAAAAAAATTCCCCGGAAGGGTCAATTTAAGTGGTGGGATAAAGCTGGCATTTGGTATTGTAGAATACATTTATAAAATTTCTCTCTTAATGATTTTTGGACATAACTAAATAATTACTTATATGGTAGCTAATCACACACAGTATATCATATATATATATATATATATATATATATATACATATAAATGCAAATTTGAAATAACATTTATTAATATTTATTGACTTTTTCTTAACAACACAACCGTAGGCTAACGTAATAAATGTAATAAATGGCAATGCATAGGAAAATAATAAAATGAATTACTAATTATAAACCTAAACAATAAAAGACTATAATTTTTTAACATTTAATTAACTATAAATAAATACGTTTACACTATAAATACAACAAATTATGTTAAATGGCTATTTATGTACCAAACATTTTGTTTATAGACAATGCTAAATGTGCAAGTAATCGATTTTACTTTTATAGGCACTTGGACAAAAAAGCATACACTTGCATACGTTTAATGTTTATTTTAAATAAACGCTATGTGCATGTGCTCGACATAGACTGTCTTTCACTTGTTGCGTAGACTAGAAAACCACTAATAAAACCGTTAATTGCACCAGCAATGTGAGCTTCAACACATATCCGTGGATTCATATTTCCATTCGCGATGGCGTGGTATGTCGTAAAACATACATCACTGAGGAATAAAATTACCATACATGTTAGTCGTAAGTAACGGTAAGTTAAGTAATGAAAATTCTGCGAAAAAAAAGGGGAAAAAAAGTAAAAAAAAAAAAAAATCAAAATTCCTTATGTAAGTGTTTCGTTAGTAACTGACTGACCTTTATTAAATGTGGTAAGTGGCTCATCAACATACCATAGACACCGGCTGAAGCACCCATTAACGAGAGTTGTGGAAGTAAGTATAACGTGGCCAATGAACCAGAAACAACGCCCGCCATATAGACAATCGCCACTCTCAGATGCCCTTGTTCTATCTCCAAACATACGCCAATCAACAACTATGCTCAGTGTATGCACAAAATCATTCAATCGTATCGTATCGACATACGGCGGGCGAAAGGTGAAGAGATGTTAGCGAGATTTCACACATAAAGTTATAATATATAAGTGTGCAGGTGTATGTATGCGTATAACGTATTATAAATTTACCTGCAGGCATATGTTCATTGTCAGATGAAATAGATCGGAATGTAAAAGCATATATGATATGAAACGCCAATACTGGTGTTTATATTTGGGTATAAACATTAAGTGTTCGATTAAACATTTATTGTTTAATAAATATATGGAGATCTGTAGGAAAATTGATCAAGAAGGTAACATCTTTAGTATAAAAACAAGTGAAAATGCCATAGTGAGGAACGGCCCACTATTAGATACTCTACACCACTTTGCTTAATACAGGTGTTTGTATAACGACCTTCTCAAATATGATGCTATATACGAAGTGGTCCGATCCAAAGCGTTTTTAATAGTTAAAACATGTCAGTGTAACACACTTGGTTAAAATATCTCAAAAATGGCGATCTATAGCTTAGATCGATCCAGAAAGTTATCATGAATCGAAGTCCCCTTTTCGCAGAAACTTATTATTATTATTATTATTATTAATTTCGCCAGAGAAATAAATTCTAAGACTAAACTCTTAAAAGCACTAGCATCTAAGGCTATCGGCTTTTATTATTATTATTATTAAAAACTCTACCGCACTTGAGATTCGAACCCACGACCATTGACTTGCTAGTCGAGACTCTTGCCTACTCGGCCACTCAGGCGGAAACTTAATATATCCTTGCACAACAAGCAGTGTAGAGTAAAAAAAGTGTTATAGCTTTAAGTAATGAAGTTTCAATTTTATATAAGCTCTTTAAAAAGGAGAACCCTATCAGTCTAAAGTTCGTAAGTAGGTCGAATAAAGTAACTTCAGTTCGAAATTCGAAGGCCTTCACCTTGTTATCGTAGCATTTGCTTGACTGTAATCAACTATAAACACCCACAGTGAGCAGGTAAACATGCAAAAATTGGCCATTTTTATGTAACACAATACCTTTATTTAGAATATCTTAGTCTAACCATTATATAATTCCGGCCAGACGCTATTCTTTGTAAGTGCGTTTTAATTTTTTTATTCATGTAATCAATCGTTCAGGGAATGTTCCCGGTGCATGTAGCGCAATGATGAATAGAACAACGTGGGAAAAGAGAAATAAGGAGTAAACGAAGCGTGGAAGATGTATATTCGATTTTCCGTGTAGCTGTAGCTACCATCACAAGCCAATTGCAATTAAGGTAGGGTTTACCGCAATGAGAATTGTGCCTGTGTACGTCGACTCAACAGCCACGTTTCTTAACTCTCCGGCTACGCGATGCCTTCCGTTTGCAATAACAAAATATTTGATAGAAGAAAGCCAGAAATGGCGAATAAAATCCGCAAAAGGATAAAAGGCCGATCATCGACTGAAAGTGCGCGAGCTAGCAGATGTGGCAGCTTTTTCAAGAAGTGTTGCACATCACATATTGACTAAAACTTTGGTCTTAAAAAATCTGTGCTTAGAATGGATTCCGCCTTTGCTCATTATGGCATCGTTGCCAGGATGTTTCACAACAATTAACATCATATCAAGTAGTTCACAATTGTGATGAGGGAACAGAGAAAACAAAGTACAGAAAGGAAAAGATGAGCCCTAATAAAAGCGAGAGCGATTCCATTTCCCTAATTATCTTAAAACACAATAAGCAATCAATTAAAAAAAGAAAAAAATATATTTTTTTTTATCAACACATCACGTATTCGTTGTTGAGAAGGCCCTAAGTGAACAGTTGCAAAATTCAAATTGCTTTCTCGCGCACCATATTCGGCAGATTTGATCGATAGGATTATTTCTCCAAACTTGAAAAATATTGCTCCATGGTACAGGTTTTGGTCACAATAAAGTGAAGAAGCATTTGGATGAAGGGTATTTTAATAATCTCGACCGTTCTCCTCTTGAAACATTTGAACATTACCGTGCAGTGGGAGTACGGTGAGAAATAAAAGTTATTTATGAATAGAAATTATTATGCTTATCTTCGTTAAGTCGTATGCTTCTGGGAATTGCCACGTAACTCTATGCAAATGTTAATTACGTTTTTTCTATTCAAATATTAATTACGTAGCGGTAATATATAGATTGTTGGTAAACGAATACGAATGCGGTAAACTAATAAAGTTTCGTGAAACATTTTTATGCATAAAAGAAATATTCTATCAGGAAAGGATTAGTGTATTCTACACCATCTCTATTGTTGTGCGAATGTATGTAACACCCATAAGAAACTCGGATAGACCTAATTTTTATTATACCAACTAACTCAGAAAGTGATTCTAAGCTTGCCTGTCAATCTGTCCATATGTACGTCAACTTGTCTCCCTGTCTCGTCTCTCGAGTTCAATCTACAGGCCGCAAGACACCGCTGTCTTGTGGTTCAAAGACGAACACTATTGAAAATAGTTCCGACCGGGCCACTTTGTCGGCCACCTTCCATACTTCCCTTATCTTGAAAAGGCATTATATGAACAACTGTTTTAAGCGAAGTACCGTAGGGTATTTGATGATGGCTTATGGCCAACTATAGTCTTTTGACTTGTTTTAATTATAAGGAGCGAAAC